GTGTGTCCATTTTTTATTTGTATGTTATTTTTTAAAGGATCTTAGAGAGCCCACATGGAAGCAGTGGAGAGAATTCCTTGTCAAATACTCCTTCCTTCCTTACCAGCTGATTGCTGAATTTGCCTGGGACTGGCTGGAAGTCCATTATTGGACGTCACGGTTTCTCATTGTCAATGCCATGTTACTCTCAGTTCTGGAATTATTCTCCTTTTGGAGGATCTGGTCAAGAAGTGAACTGAAGTAAGTGTGTTTTTATGTTGAAGATGGAGCAACAGGGACTAGAAAAGGTGTTTTTGAAGTATTACTCAGACATGAAGACTCCTTGTCCTCTGGTTTAGAAACACCTACTTAAGCAGCAAATAGGAAAAGTTACCTTGTGTTTGCAGGGTGGTAAGGTTTTCATGGTGCTCACTGTTAAAGTGTTTCTCCATGTATCTTATCCCCACATAATCTACCATATAATTTCTGGGGGGTGGAGAGTATACCTGAAGAATCTTAATAGTTGGGGAATAAACAAGTGAGAAAATGAGGGTACTTTATGGAAAACAGCGTTCAAGCATAGAGATATGACGAAGAATTCTATAGGCTCAAACTCTAATCCTGCTCTGCTACCAGTTGGAACAGTAACAATTTGTCTGTAAAATGAGTTGGACTAGACAGTCACTAAGTTAGGACTCTTGGTTGCAAGTGACAGAAGCCAACCTAAATTGGCTTTCCTAAAAAGAAAAATGCCCAATTAAGGCTTCCTGTGTGACTGGACCCAGAGACCCAAATGCTGTCATGAGGACTGACTCTTTGTCTCCTTCTTGCAGCTCTGCTCTTTGCTGTGTTGTTCACCCTCAGGCAGCTGTCTTCATATGGGGGCACTCGGTCACTCCAGGCATAGATCTGAGCAGCTTAGCAGCACTTGGGAAAGGAGAGCACTTATTTTGTAGTACCTATCAAAGTCTCAGGCTCCCATGCCTTTGCTCTGATTGTCCCAGCCTCAGTCACATGCTCACCTGAACCCATCACTTGATGCAGGGGTATGCTAATCGAGTTTATTGGGATGACCCTATGCAGCAATCTCGTTGGGGCTCAAGGCATGCATTCATCCCCTGCAACCAGGGGCTGACTTCAGCCCCACTCAGACCACATGGAAAAGAATAGGGGAAAGAGGCACCCCAAAGGAAAACTCAGAGAGTGTTTTCAGAAGAAAGGGGCTGGCTGCTTGGGAGGCAAAAGTAACATCTCCTCACCAGTATCTTTGAAGCCTGAAGCATCCTGTAACTCACAGGGTTCTTGACTTCCATCGATCAGGAGCAGCCTTATAAATAGTTCTGAGAGCCTGACAGGAATCTCCCTCATTTATTTCAATTCAGTGAACTCATTTCTTCACACAGAGTTAAGTGAGTCCTTACTCTGCCCCTGGCTGTCTTCTGGACACTATAGATCTTTTGGTAAAAAAGACCAACTGTACTCTGAAGGCCTACAGCCTAGCAGATAAAATAACGTATGTTAAAAATATACAAATGTGACGCAGTAATGAAGCAGGTGGGGTTGGGGCTGTAACGGGGATGCCTCACCCGGTGTGGATAGTGCCCTGAGGAAGCACTGTGTAGGCTGCATCCTGGGAGTGGAAGATGGATTGGTCAGGCAGAGGCATGTCTCAAGCAGTGGGGACAGAAAACAAGGTCTTTGCAGCACAGGCGCCCTGACTCTGCATTGGGAAACGGCCCAGGGTCTGAGCACTTTGGTGTCATCATTTAGGATCACCATCACTATTCTACCTTTCAAATGCTTCTCTTTTTTCAGGACTGTGCCTCAGAGGATGTGGAGCCATTTTTGGAAGGTATCAACACAGGGGCTTTTTGTGGCCATGTTCTGGCCCCTCATTCCTCAGTTTGTTTGCAACTGTTTATTTTACTGGGCCCTGTACTTTAACCCAATTATTAACATTGATCTTGTGGTCAAGGAAGTCCGACGGCTGGAAACCCAAGTGTTGTGAGTGGCACTGCTCAGGCTCTGAAGGACTGTTCCAGCCTCCCAGGCGGGGCTGAGCTTTGATGCTTAAGTGAAGGGGGAGTGGGGTGAGAGCTGAGTTCCTGTTTCCTTTCCCCAGTAAACAAGGTGCCGCTTTCTCTGTCAAAGACTGCAACCAGGTCCTCCCTCCCACTGCCTAAGGCATTGTGGCAGCAGGGACTGACATCCCAGAGCTGGGCAGACACAGCAGCAGCACTTGGCACCTAGTCGCCTTGCTCACAGGAACTTAGGAAACCAAGTCCACTCTGGCTTGCCGGGACCCAGGGTTCTCAGAGGATGCGGTATGGGAGCCCTCAGAAGGCTGCCACATCAGCAATCCTGCTTGCCCCAGCTCAGTGACAGAAGCTCCCAGGGCAAGGTGGAGTCCTGAGACTGAGCCCAGGACCAGGCTTGTTGGTGCCAGCCCTGTCCTCTTTAAGTCTAGTTTAGGAAAATGAGAGAAGAGTTTGTCATAGGGATAGACAGTTGTACATAAAAAATACAGAGGAAATCCAAAATCCAATAGACAATTCTGTCTCACTGAAAATGAGTTGCTAGGAAGTTGAAGAGTTAACCCTTCAAAGAATCTGTTTGAGACTAGAATGATGATTAGATTCGATCCGTTTCCAACTTTTGATCATTGAAAGTTTGGATCCCTTTCTCTGTGTGGGGGGATTGAATGGGATGTTGGCATATTAACAGAGAATAATTCATATCAGGCTGAGCTGCCTCAGTGCTACTTAAAATTGGTTTGTTTTGGGACTTGCTTTGTTTGTTTTTAAGAATTTAATCTGTAAAATCCAGGATAGTCCTTTTGTTCAATGAAATATTTTATACAATGACCTCACACTGTATAATTTTTATCTTGTTCTGATGTATAAAACAGCAAGTATAATGACACCAAATGCTGTAATTGTAAATATGAATGAGATGAACTATGCCTCTTACTTTCTTCTGGTGTGAAAGCAGCAGGTGTGAAATGTGATCCATCTTCATGGAATAAGCTTGCATCCAAGGTGTTGTGTCGTTTTTTGTGGCTCCATGAACCATTCATTAATCCTTTGTACCTTTGAAGATTTCACTCAAACTTTGCATCTAGAAGTTTGAAGAAATTACTTGAAATAAAAAAAAAAAGATCTTTAATAAAGACAACTTCCATAGAGAAATGTATAGAAAACATGAAAATCAGAATTGCTCAATACAACCTACGAGTCATGGTGAAGTCCCCTTTTTTCCCTGCCTGATGAGAACATTGAGCCAAGGAGCCATCCTAAGGTACATTAGGTGTGAGGAAGGAGAGTGTATTTCTTCCTCCTGTGTTTGCTCATCAGGCCCCAGGGCTGCCTGACTTTACCTTCTTAACACTTGTGACCTGCCAGAGACACCACACTACAGGTTTGGGGACACTGCAGTATTTGCGTATCTCTGGTCTCCTACCTTATGGTGTTACTATTCTCCTTTCCAGATAAAGAGATGGAGGCCGAGTGGCACTGGTGGAGCTGGGCCCAGGCTGGACCACGGGTTGCCAGACTCCCAGTCCAGTGTCCCCCCACCCACTCCCCACATCCTGCTTCAAGGATAATTGATACCCACATCTGCTCAGAGGAGGAGAGCAAAGGAGAACTGGTCTAGAGCAAATGGGCTTAGCTGAACTTGCACTCTTTACTGCCAGCAGGAAGGACAGGCACTTCAGAGCCAGGGCTGCCTTGCTTCCCTTGGACCCCCTCAATCATAGCAGGCTACATGCATCAAAAGGGGGTGTCTATTTAAAATATTCAGACCCTTTGATGTAAGAATTCCATTTCTGCAAATTTGGGTCAAAGAATAATGAAAAGGTGAGCGGTGGGGAATGGCAAAGATTTATTCTGAAGCATCACCAACACATGAATTTATGAAAATAGGAAATATCACCAATATTCTAAAGTTAGCAATTTATCAAATGGTATCTAATGTAGCCATTTAAAATGGAGCTTTTGCCCTGGCTGGTGTGGCTCAGTGGATTGAGTGCCAGCTAGCAAACCAAAGGGTCGCTGGTGCAATTCCCAGTCAGAGCACAAGCCTGGGTTGCGGTCCAGGTCCCTGGTAGGGGGCACATGAGAGGCAACCACACACTCTCCCTCCCTTCCCCTCTCTTTAAAAAATAAATATTTAAAAAATTAAAAAAATAATAAAATGGAGCTTTCAAGGAGAAAAGCTTATGAAAATCACAAGAGTATCTCAACTTCACTTTTAAAAATTACAGAAAATGCCCGACTGGCGTGGCTTGCTTGGGCATTGTCTTGCAAAGCAAAAGGTCACCGGTTAGATTCCCAGTCAGGGCACATGCCTGGGTTGAGGCTGGTTCCCTGATGGGGCACATGCAAGAGGAAACCAATTGGGAACATTGCTGTTCTCTACCTCCCTCTCTCCCTCTCTTCCCCTCTCTGTAAAAGTGAATAAATAAAATCTTTAAAAAAGTAAAAATAAAAATTACAGAAAAGACTGATGAACAGCACACCAAGAAGCTAAAAGTGTTTTTTCTGCATTGTGAGAATTGGAGTAGTTTAGGGTTTTTTCCTCCTTTTCGTATTTGCCCTTTATTTAAAGCAGTGAGTATGTAATACTTTTATAATCAGGAAATAGATGTTAACTATTAACGGTGGAGTAGGGTGGGGAAAAATTTTATTTTTTTAAGAATACTCTTTCTTGAGCTAACAACTACTAGACTTGAACTTCACAAGGGTGTTCTGTGGTTGTCTTTGTTTATTGCCTCAACCCAGTACCTAGAACAAGGCCAGGCACTTAGCAGGTGTTTGTTCATCAAGAGCAGGGTAGAAGACAAGCTCAGCCTTTTCATAAAAGCTGAACCTCAAAAATGGTACCAAACCCAATACAGAACACAGTTATAAACACAGTTATGGTTTTATAAATAGACATGGGGTTTTGACCTTAATCAAACTGGAAACCAAACAGGCTCCAGCCTCAAGTTCCGGGATGGAGAGAGAAAGCAAACACTGGTTGCAGCTTCAACACTTTTAACTCAGTTCCCGGCTGCAAGGAACTGAATATAGCTATTGATTAGTGAAAAGGAGTTTTATTTTCATGCAAAAGAACATTTCAAGTGAAAGTTAGTCACACTTGAGTGGGTCCCGCCCACAAAAGAAACGTGGAAAGAAGAGGTACTTGAAATTGTACTCAGTTTTGGCTAAGCAGTAAGCAATCTCCTGGTCACACTTGCATAAGAGTTCTTGACATTTGTCCTCTGTTGGTTCTGAAAGAAATGGGAAAACAGATTAGAGCAGAGACTCGCAGATAAACATGAGGGAAGCCAGTAACACTGCTGGCAGGAAGGGTCACAAATTGCATCTGTGTGATTTTGACAGTTCACCAATGATCATCATCCTGGCAACTCTAGGGAGGTGATGTTGGCCCCGTTTTGCATAGAAGGAAATTGAAGCTGTCAAGTGATTTCAGACACAGAGTCCAAAGTCCATATGAACTTCTGGCTTCTCTTTTGCATCATTATTACATTTCATTTGAGGATCCATTTAGATAAGCAGTAGGGAACCATCCAGACCTTTTTTTTGGAATGCTTGCTCTGCTACTTCCTAGCTGTGTGATCTTGCCTAAATGGCTCAAGTGTTCATTTAAAATGGGGCATTATTCACTTTGTGGAGTTATCGGGAAGCCCATATAAACTGCCTAGGAAAGACTTGGCATGCACTCAGTCAGTGTTGGCTCCACCTGCATTTCTCTGCCTTTGTTCTCCAAGTCTCTTTCAGATGCTCCTTGGACAAGAGCTTGTTGTGGATAACAACCACGTATTCCATCTCTCCCCTCCATCCTTGCTGAACCTTCCTTATACAGAGATGCAAAGGTTGCCATCCAGAATGTCTTCAGTAAGTCTGCATTGCTGCTTTTTTCTAATTGAAAAATTCCCATAACAAAATTTACCATTTCAGAGTGCACAAGTCATTGGGATTTAGTGAATTCATGATGTTGTGTAATCATTACCTCTCTCTATTCTACTAAAACATTTCTATCACCCCAAAAGAGACTTCGCATACATTAAGGTGTCACTTCCCCACTAACCCTCTCCTGAGTCCCTGTCAACCACTAATTTGTTTTTTGTCCCTAGTGGTGTGCCTATGATGGGTATTTCATATACTTGTAATCATACAGTATGTGACCTTTCGTGTCTCCCTTCTTTCACTTAGTATCACGTTTTCAAGGTTCATCCACATTATAGCAGATACAGTATTTCACCTGCTTTATTTTCCAACATAGCAGTTATAAAAGCACTTGGTACAGACACAATTTTCCGCTCTCCTCCTTTTAGACTTCCCTGTCTTACCTAAAACGTAGGATGGAGGCTGGCACAAAGTAGATTCTCAATAATATTTATTGGGATAATACAGAAAAGCCATATATCTCACACAAACACAGCATCTAAGTTTTATTATTCCCATTTTACAGATGTGTAAAGTGAGGCTCAGAGGGATTCAGTAACATGTCCAAAGCCACAGACCTGGGAAGGAGGGGACCAAGGACTGCAGCGCAGGTCTTCTGACCCAGTGCCTGTACCTCCCTTGCGTTCCCATCCTCCTCTCTGAGCAAGAAAGATTCTTTCAAAAGCAACACTTGGTCTCACTGCTCAAGAGCCTCAGGAACCCAACAACATCATTTATTCAAGAATAATAAAAACTTAAAAAGAAAAATAGCTCCCAAGGGTTAAGTTTAAAATAAAGGCCTGCCAGTAAATATTATTATAGGCTTAAAAAAATGTTAAATATACTTAAGTCAGGCCCATAAATGGAAAATGGGCCACACCTGCAATTAAGTAAACACCTATGTTCAGAATATCTCCAAAGAGAATAAGAGAATATTTTTAGCCAAAAATGCATAATAGATATTTTGGTTCTCTTCATTTGGTTCAGGGAGGGCAGTTCTGTAAACAGGCACAGACTCCACCAATAAATATTTTACAAACACCGTTTTCACATGGCTAGAGTAAGCAGAACATGCAAGTTGAAGGGAAGAAGGGAAAGATCTTTAACAGATTGCAATTCAAGTCCCATTTCACCCCTCCTACCCACACCGGAAGGGGGAAGTTTGGGGACAGGGAATGTGCCCAGCAGTAGGCACATCACCACCATGTTAGGAGAGTCACTTCTTTCCCTGGGTTTCAAGTTGCCCAACTTTAAATGAGAGGGCTGGGCAAGATGATGTCTGAGGTGCTTTCAGTCCTAAACACTAATATTATGTCTCAGTACTAATTCAGCTTTGCTCTTAGGCCAGTTCCTAAATCATTCTAAGGAGATATGGCTGAAAATATGCACATATCTAAGAACATCCTTGTAGTAACTCTTATGACTGCCTCTTTCCCCCCAGAACAGACCAAGTTGCAGAAGATAGGATTTTAATGGAAAGTCACACCAGAACCTCAGTTCTCTCTAGTAGGAGGTAGTGGGGTCAGAGAGAGGTTCATATAAGGATGAGGGAGGAAGGGATAAGAGATGGAAGAGAGTAATAATCCCTGTCCAATCTGTTTATCACATTATAAACGCTTTATTTCATCTCTGCAATCCATCTTCAAGGTAAGGAAACGGAGGACCAGAAAGGTCATCCATCTAGGGCCGAGATTTTCAACAAGGGAAGAAGAGTCTCTTCAACAAATGGTACTGGGACAACTGGATATCCACATGCAAAAGAATGAAGTTGGACTCCTACCACACACCATGTACGACAGTTAGTCCTGGCCAAGTAGCTCAGTTGGTTAGAGCATCGCCCCAATATGCCATGGTTGCAGGTTCAATCTCCAGTTAGGGCACATACAAGAAGCAACCAATGAATGCATAAATCAGGGGAACAACAGATAGATGTTTCTATCTCTCTCAAAATCAATTTTAAAAAGTTCTTAAAAATATTAAAGCCCTGGCCAGTGTGGCTCAGTTTGTTGGGTGTCATCCCACAAAGCAAAATGTTACCAGTTCGATTGCCCATCAGGCACACACCTGGGTTGCAGGTTCGGTCCATCCCGGGTCAGGGTGCAAACAACAGGCAACCGATTGATATTTTTCTGTCACATCAATGTTTCTTTTTCTTTCCCTCTCTTTCTCCCTCCCTGCCCCTCTCTCTAAGAAAAATTAAAATAAAATAAACTCATAGTGTATCAATGACCTAGACATAAGAATTCAAATGATAAAACTATTATAAGGAAGTGGGGGTAAATCTTCATGACCTTGGGTCTAGCAATGGCTTCTTAGATAGGACACCACAGACATGATCAAGAAAAGACAAAATAGAAAAATTCGGCTTTATCAAAATTACAACTTTTGTACATAAAAAACATTATTTGAAAAAATATTTATAGATCACATATCTGATAAGGGTGCAGTACCCAGAATATATAAAAAACTCTTATAACTCAACAACAAAAATGACAACCCAATTAAAAATGAGTGAAAGACTTGAATAGACATTTCTCCAAAGATATAAAAATGGCCAACAAGCACATGAAAAGATGCTCAACGTCATTAGGGAAAAGCAAATCAAAACCACAATGAGATATATTAATCACCCCACCAATAAAGTACCATCTGTCAGAAGGTAATCTGGCCATATGTCATCCAGCCATATTTTTATTTTATTTTGTTTTGATGCATGTCAAAGTAATTTGCAGAGATCATATGAGGCTGTATATTTCTTTTCTTTTTAACTTTAAATTAGCAACTCACGAAGACACTCTCTTTGTAAAAAAAGGAAACATTACAAAGAACATAAAATCGCCTTGTACCATCACTCCCCTCAGCCCGATTCTGTCCCTAGCAATGACCACAGCCATCCTCAGTTTGGAGTGTATCTTTACATTTTTCTGACCTTTGTGTATGTACATCTACATGTAGCCATGGAAAGTAGTATGGTACTATTTACAAGTTCTTTTCTTTTTTAACACAATATTGCTTTATTGAACCTGTCATTCTGCAGTTTGCTTCTTCACTCAACATCTTTCCTTGTCCTTTCTTACCTTACCCTTTCTTCAGGCCACAATTTGCCACCATGAGGATACATCACAGATTTATATACCCAGGCCCCCATGTGACAGACATTTAGGTTGTTTTTAATCTGGTGTCATTTCTATCTTTTTCAGTTTGTCCAAACAGAAAAAAAAAAAAAGTTTCTGTTTATATTTTTAAGTGCTCAGTATTAAAGATGACATATCAGATAAACCCAAAGAGTGATCTATGCAAAGTTGGAAGCAGTGGTAAGTTATTACAGCCAAGGATGCCCCAGGAACTCTCGGGGAGGTCGGCGTGGGTGCTGCAGGGGACTCACCACATTCGATGTGCTGATCGTTGCACTTCCACGAGTAAGGTTCCAGCTTGGCCTTGCAGCCAGCCTCCTCCCTGGCATGATGGTAGCAGCAGTCATGACGATGGCAGCACCTATGGATGGCAGACAGGCAGACCAGCTGGTAGGGAATGGCAGGGCTGCTCTCCTGGCCACTTTTCTCTGCCAGGGCTATGGGAGAGCATCTTCTGGTCCAAACTTTGTCCCTGAGAATCCTATCCCGGGAAATAATTCTGCTGAACCCGGTGTGTCCTGCACTGCCTCCATCCCCAGCCATGCTTGAGCCTGGCCCCTGCCTCGGCCCTGCCTGCTCCACTCTCCGAGACTCTGAGCTCCAGCAGAACCTGTCTCCTCTCTGTTGCTAGAGTGAGGCTGCCTCCCGCCTATGTCCTCTGCCCAGGCCAACTTCATTCCCACTCTTCCTCTTTTAGTTCCAGCCTAAGCACCAGCCCCCATTCCCAGAATGTCATCAGGCTCCCTACCTCCCAGGCTATAAAGGTCTCCTTGTTCCACCCTCTCATAAAACCAGGTTCCTTCCCTTCGAGGCAGGTTCATAATGGGACCTTCATTAGCAAGGAGATCAACATTTGTCCTCCTCATGACCAGAGCTATAAGAAGTGGAACCATTCCTGTCTGATTCCTCACAGTGTTACCAGCATCCAGTTCAGCCCAGGGCCTGCCACATAATCAGATCTCCTGTTGAAAAATTCCCGGAGGAACACCGACAAATGTCCCTAAACCTGCCCATTATTCATTCTTTCACTGGTATGATCTCCATTCAACCACCAGCCCCACTCTGTGTTGAGCCCTCAGCTGAGCCTGGCAGGGACAGGTCAGCCAGATTCCTCATTGCCCTCAAAGTGCTCTCAATCTGGTGGGGTAGGCAGACAAGCTACCAGGCACCACATGCATAGTGAAAAGTGCTGGGATGTGTGGTTGAAAAGGGGATTCTGGAAGCCATAGGCAGTGCTGTGCCCAGCCGGGATTCAGGAGAGGCTTCCTAGAGCGGGTAATGCTTGATCTGCATCTAGAAAGATGTATAGGAACCAGACAACCAGAGTGTGGGAGGATGTGGCCAGCAGGAGCCTTGAAGGTACATGGCTGAGTAAAGACCTGTTAACGACAATCACATCCTCCAAGCTAAGGAAGAGACAATCAAATTCTGTCCTCGGCTACCTACCAGCTTTGTAAAAATGGGTATGTGGCTGTGCCTCTCTGAGTTTCAGGGCCCTGGTCCATAACACAATATAGCCATTGCGCCTGTTTCCAAGGGTGGCGATGAGGGTAAGGGAGATGTAGTCATGGAAAGGAATGAGTTCACAGCTTTGTGCAGAACAGGCACTTCTCACGTGGTAGCAGAGGGCACTGATTAGGTCCATGAGCCCAGCAAACCGCTGACATTCAAATCCCAGCCCCGACCCCTTACTCTCTATGTGGTCCAGACAAGTTACTTAATTTTTCTCTACCTCAGTTTTCTCATTTTTGTTATGGGATCGTTGTGAGGATTAAAAACGTGTTTTCAGAACAGGTCCTGGTGCACTTTAAGTCTGATCAACTTTGTTATTTATTTATTTATTTATTTAGCCAAAGTAATCATCCCATAGCCAGACTGAGGAGGGCAGCTGGTACCAAGGTTTGGCCTCATTGGCATGTTACACAGGAGGCCCTCTGCCTGCAGGGTGGCACCATGTGCTATTTCTTCATAGGCCTTAAATACCTCAGAGGGTGGGGGACCTTTCAGCCTGGCCCAAGTATGAACTCACCGGTCAATAGCATCCAGGGGTTGGCCCTGGCCACCCAGGCCACAATAGCAGCCATAGCTAACATAGGCCAGGGGAGTACGGGGGCCAACACAGTTTATGGTTTCTGCCAGTTCTACGAGTCCACGCCGGTGCACATGTGACTTCAAGGAGGCTGGAGGGAAACAAAGGTTAGAGGCTGAAGGTCAGGTCTGCCTTGGCCCTGGGCCCTGGGGAAGGTCACTGGCCTGAGAAAAGCCTAGGTGACTGCCTGGGTTTGAATCCTGCTCCCCCTACTTCCTAGCTGTGTGATCTTGGACAACTTATTCAAGCTCTCTGTGCCTTGTTTTCCTCATCTATAAAATAGGGGGATAAGCATACCTTACTTGAGAGAATAAAATACTATCAAACATGTAAAGCACCTGGCACATAACAAGCTCTAACTATTATTACCAATATCCTCAAGGCAGCCGTGAAAGAAGAAACAAGACACAGAGCCACAGCTGAAAGATCACACCACTGGGTCTTTGCAGAGGCTAGTCCATCTTCCTGAAATGCCCTGGCTCCCAGTCTCCTGTCTTTGTCAATTCCTGACACAGAGTACAAGCTGGACATCAAATGTCAGTCCAGTTGCTTGTGATGAGCCCTGGACATCAGAGATGAGCTAAACAGGGTCTCTGCCACCAAGGAAGGCTCCTCTGTGGGGGCTTCCCGCATTCTTCTCCCTGTCCCTGGTTCTTCTCCACCCCCACCCCCCACTACTACCACCACTTCTGTTAAGTCTCTGGTTCAGGGCCATTTTGATCTCCTCTTATTTTCACTGCTCAGGCCCAGCTTTGCTTCTACACAGGGAGGTCCTGTGGCCCAAACCCAGTCATGGCTCTGACACAGGGCAGTGCACGGTAGATGCAACTGAAAACCTGTCTTTCACTGGTGAGAAAGAGGAGGCGTGGGCAGTAAGGATGACCACCCTCCTCTCCCAGCCATATGCCAGCAAGAACCTGGCTGACTGGGGGCTCTGACCCAGGCTTCTGACTCCCAATCCAGTGTTCATTCCTCCCAGGAGCAGCAGGAGAAGGAGGTCTGCCACGGTGGCACAGCTGAGGGGCAGCGAGCAGGTAGAGGCCACTACTCAAAGCCAAACATCTCCAAACCCACTGTAACCTGGGCATCAGAGCATCCTAGAGCAACTCCTCAGGCAATGAGTCTACCCTCTGGCATTTGGTCTAAAACAAGTCAGAGCAATAGTAGGAGATACAGTCCCTTGAACCTCACCCTGCACCAGGCATCTTCTGTTGTCAGTGGCATAGCCTCCTTGTCTTGTGGGCAGCTATCATCCCATTTACAGATGAGGAGGCTGAGACTAAGAGAGGCAAAAGGACCCATCCCAGGTCATGGGGCTGGTGAGCCTCAGAGCAGAAGCTCATACCAAGGCCCGCCTGGCTCCTGGGAGTCCACTCTCTACTCTGGGACTACCAGGACAGAGATTTATGCATTGTATTTGGCCATCATGTCTCTTTTGTGTCTTTTTATCTAGAATAAGTTTTTATTACACTGATTTTTTGGAAAAATACATACAAAAATTATGTCTAATGTTTTTTCTCAGTGGAGAAAGTAGCATATTCATGTGGGGGAACAGAGAAGAGTTAAATTCAAAACGATTTGTAAAATAAGGATTTTAGAGTTAAACACTTCCCCTTCCTTTCTGGAAGACCAGTTCTTGCTCTCCCAGGACTTGCTGAGTGCTGCTCCCAGCTGGCCACACCTCTGCCTCCTGTGGCTCTACCACCCTCCAGATAAAGCTCAGGGGCCTCATGCAGCCCAGAGGCCTGACGGGGCCCATCCCCTCCTCCTCTCCAGTGTCCTCTCTCAGTGCCCACCACATGGACTCTGCTCATCGTTTCCTGTTCCTCCAGTTGAATTTCCCAGCACACATATCCTGTGCTGCATCTGTTCTCACACCATCCTCACCCAGCTCACCGGCCACCTGCTAGAATCTGCTTCACCCTCAGGTGACCACAGGGGCCCCTGTCACACCCCTGGCACCAGGATGCCAGGCTTATGGGAGTGACCCTCTAGCCTGGGAGCTCTTTGAGGACAGATCTCTGCCATGGGCAGCTTCAGCTCCCCTGGCACACAGTGGGCTTCCAGGAAAGGTCCCTTGACTTCTGGATCCACCAAACCCTAGTCCAAGCATATCTGACAGGGCTCCAGTCTTAATCCTACACCCCACAGCTGTCCACAGAGGTGCCCCCACCCCCACCATGAACTAACTACACTCTGGCATCTCAGGGTCCTGAGTACAGCCCTATGGGGAACCCAAGCATGGGGCAGACGTCCAGCAGTGGGTTTGGAACCAAGGAAAACACTCCCTCCGGGCCAGCTTAGGTGGGGCAGGTCACTCTGGGGTCTGTTTGCTCTGTCTGCCCACGGCAGCCTCGCTGGGAGTGCCAAGGCTGCTAGGCTTCCTATCTTCCTATGGGCCTGTGTGTGAGCCTCTGTGTGTGTGTGTGTGTGTGTGTGTGTGTGTGTGTTTCCTTCGGGTATATTTGCTTGTGTCTGTGTGTGAGCCTGTCCATGAGCCCTACATCTAGGTGTCCAGGAGAGGCTGGGGGTGTGTATGTATATGATGTGGTATCTGTATATTTCCTTGTGAGTGTGTGCGCCTGTACACCCCAGAAATAGGCAGTCACTGAAGGGCCCTCACCAGGGATGGGTGAGAAGGCAACCTTATGGTCTACCCTGATCCTGGTTGGGCTGGGTCCCTTCTGCCCCCTGCTCCCCCCAGTCTCAGATGTCCCCCTGGCAGTCCCACCTCCGATGCCCCCGGGGCAGCTGAAGTGAACAGTCAGTTCACTAGACCTGGGGCCAGGTAAACGGGGAAGGTCTGGTCGCTGAAGAGGGTTAGAGTGATTGGAGGGGATGTCTGGGGAGGACACAGCCCCCCTGAGCCCCTGAGGAAAGGCTGGGCTAGATTTGCGTTCCTGGGAGGAGTGAATGAGTCTCGGAAGCTCTTGGGGAGGGCTGGGGCACAGGGCTCTTGGAAACCTAGTAAGAAACGTGTCAGTGAGGCAGAGAAAGAAGGGCTCTGGGCTGCAGAGCTCCTGGGACCTTGAAAAGGGCTGGTCAAGTTGGACTCCTTGCAGAAGGGTGGGGAGCAGGAATGCTGGGCCAGGAGAGAGGGCTGAAGGAGTCCCAGGAACTCCTTGATCCTCCGAGGGGCCCATTCCTCACTCACCTGCGCTGCGCAGGAATCCAGGTACCAGTAGCAGCAGCAGCAGCGGCAGCATTACTGGCTGGCACAGGGGCAGCTGACCCACGGGATGGTGGCAGGTGTGGGACGATCTGGCGGGCTAGCGTAGTCACCAAGCCCGGGCCGAACCCCTCCCCCACGCCCCGCCCCTTGCCGCCTGCCCTCACCTTCCCCGCAGGGCCGGGCGGAGCCCGGCCAGGTCAGGCTCCTGGGCCGCCAAGAGAAGGAATGAGCGCGCGAGGCCAAGAGAGAGAATACGGCCCAGAAAGTCTGGGATGAGAGTTTGGAGAAATTGCGGAGGAAAGGAGTTTGGCACAGGTCAAGTCACCCAGTAAATTCGCAAGAAAGTGTGCTCTAGTACTATTACCTGCAGCCCCCTCCTAGTGCTCACCTGGCCCCCAAAAGGAGACTTGGAGGAGCGGGAAGTACTGAAATTATTTTAAACACTTTAAGTGTAGGATACTTGTTGCTCCTGACACCTCTAGAAATCAGCTCTTGCACCAGTCCCCACCACCACGACAGTCGGGGAACTGAAGGCATCAGAGATTTGCCCAAGGTCACACAGTGGGTTCTGGTAAAAGACACAGCTGAAATGGTGTAGGAGAGGACCGAGCCCCGCACCCCTCACCCTTTCTACCTCAGTAGAAACCAAGGGCGCTAAGGCCTCCTCCAGAGGACACGTGAGACAGAAAAGGCACACACAGTAGTTGCTCAGCATTGAAAGGAGATCAGAGTTCTGGCACACAACTTTGTCCCTACCCGGTGTCATCAATTTCTGTTGATTTCTAGCCATCACTGCTTCTGAGAGTAGAACCCTAGACTCCTCCCATCTCCATGGCCAAGCTCTAATAAAAGTAATGGCAACTAATGATGGTCATGTCTCACCAGCTATAATGTGCTAAGGGCATGTTCTTATCACAACCTCAGGCCCCTGGAGTTCCCATTTCACAGGAAAAAAACAGGCTCAGAGAAAGCTAAAAGCCAAGAGTTGCAGCCACGCAGATTCAAATTCATTTCTTTATTTTCTGAATCCTCTATCTGCCTCCTTCTATGAAAACCTAAGGCATCAGGCCACTCATCTGCCTCCCTCTGAGTCACTGTCTCCCCACTGGAGTGAGCTCCTCGAGGCAAGGCCTGGCTCTCTCCTGAACCCCTGCCATGTGCCCGTCTGGCGAACAACAGGTGTTTAATTACGGCTTGTCCACACAGATTACGGGTTTCAGACTCTCCAAAACATGGAGTTAAAAAAACACTTTCTTTCTGAGAGTCTCCCCTGGGCAGGCAATGGAGGATAAAATAACCCACATAAATTTATGGTGACTTTTGCTTTCAAGGAATTTCCCAATCAAATGTGCAAGGAGAAAAATTTATTTATACTGATAAGTCCATTATAATTAAAAAGTCAGGAAATCTGTTCTCAGTATTAGAACTTTTGCACCAAAAACTCTACTACTTTAACTGGTTAGCCTCAATCATCTGAAAAGCTCATACAGAATAATTTGTTCCTAATTATGTTAGATAACTGGGGCATTGGGTCCATCACCAAATATGCTAATGCCCCATACTCTAACAAAATTAACATATTAAAAACATAAATTATAAGTCATGTCTAAAAAGGCCTCAGTTGAATGTGCTGAGAGATGAAAGGATATGACAAAATGTGAATAGAATCAGAAACTGGTTCACTTCCTAAGGGTGAGTTATGCATATCAGTTATGCCCTAGTGTTGGTCTCAGTTCAGCTGCATCTGGTTTCATCCTAATCTACTGACAAAATGTTGCTAAAACTGTTTGGTGAGGAAAAGGATTTCTTCTTCTTTGTGACAGAAGTGGGTACCCTTCTATGACTAAAAGGTAAAATAACTATACATTCCAGGGAACATGTGAATCTGGGTGATTTCTCCAGCTCAGGAGACATATATAATAGAGTGGTGAATTCCAATACAGACCAGCACACCCTTTGACCGAGTAGGCTGCTCCTGGGAATAGCTCTAAAGAAAAATAAAATACTCAGATAAAATTTATACACAAAGTTGATCCTTATCAAAGAGCAAAAACAAGTGAGAAGCAACCTAAATATTCAACAGTAAAAAGATAGTTAAATTATAAGATTTTCCATATGATAGATTATGGATTCATTCTAATATAGTGTTTTTGAAGAATATTTAATGACCATATAAAAATACTTTAAAAAGTAGAAACTTATGATATAATTACCGACCATACATCTGAAACAGAGCCATACATAAGCATATCTATAAACACAAACTGACTATGATAAATAAATGGGTCTCTCTGGAGGGAACAGGAGGGATAGGAAAGAAGAAAGATAGGGAAAATGAATGAAATGTATCAAAATGTAGTATCAGTTATCTTCTGGTGGTGGAGTTACATGAATTTTTATCTTTGTTTCTTTATTTCAAAATTTCTATTAAAATCTAAATTTCTATAATTTAGAAAAAATTAAACCAAAACTAGACTTATAAACATTAATTCAATAAAGCACACCTGACTGGTATAGCTGAGTTGGTTGGGCATCATCCCATGAGGCAAAAGGTCACCGGTTTGATTCCCTATCAGAGCATATGCTTGGATTGCAGGCTTGGTCCCTGCAGGCAATTGTTAGATGTTTCTCTCTCACATCTATGTTTCTCTCCTTCTCTTTCTCTCTCCCGTCCCCTCTCTCTAAAAATAAATAAATGAAATCTTTTAAAAAATAAGCCCAGTCTATTGAAAAAGGTTATAGTGATATTATTCTAAAAACACAGAGACAGAAGCATAAAGATACCAATATCTACCGGTTTTTAGTTCCTCTCTTGTGTGTGTGTTTTTTCTTAAAACTTTGTATTCCTGTGGTCAACAGGGACTGCAGGGAGGGAGAAGAGGATGTCGTTTAATGAGTATGAAGTAAATACATATGCATTTACCTTTTGACCAGCAATACAATTTTAAGAATCTATCACAAACATATATTGGCAAAAATATGACATGGCATCTTCTCAAGGCTACTTTTTTTAACACGTATTATAGTAAAGTAATGGAAACAACAGAAATGCCTATTCATAGAGGAATGGTACAGCCTCACAGTTTTAAAAACTTTTAATCAGAAACAGTACTATTTTTAAAAAATATGTTTATTGATTTTAGAGAGACAGGAAGGGAGAGAGAAACATCAATGTGTGAGAGAAACATCACTTGGTTGCCTCCCATAGACACCCTGATCAGGGATCAAATCTGTAACCTAGGTATGTGCCCTAATTGGGATTGAACCCCCAATCTTTTGGTGTACAGGACAATGTTCCAGCCAACTGAGCCACACCAGCCAGGCAAAAACAGTACAGTTTTAATGAGGAAGAATCCTGCATATAGCTATTAGTAATCTCTAAAGCATATTGTCAAGTGAAAAAAAGCAAGGTATAAATAATATGTACGTAGGCCTTGTTTTGTTTTCAAAAGGGGGGTAGTAGATAAATGCATATACATATAACTTGTTCTATATATAAAAGTAGCATTGGAAAGTTAAACCAAAAACTAATTAAAATGATTACCTAGGTTACCTTGAGGGAATAACAGAAGAGACTGAGGATAAAGTAGAAGATAGACTTCTCTTTGGATATTTTATTTTATTAGTTTTCACTACAGATTCATGTAAAAGTTTTACATAATTTGGAAATTAAAAGGATAATATCCCTAAAAATAAAAACAAACAGCTCTTGCTTGTGTGGCTCAGTGGATTGAGTGCTGGCCTGAAAACCATAGGGTTGCTGGTTCAATTCCCAGTCTAGAGCGCCTGCCTGGGTTGCAGGTCAGGTCTCCAGTAGGGGGCGCACGAGAGACAACCACACATTGATGTTTCTCTCCCTCTCTTTCTCCTTCTCTCCCTCTCTCTAAAAATAAATAAATAAAACCTTTTTAAAACAAACAAATGAATCTATCTGTAACAAGAGGGATTATTTCAAAAGACCTGAATATACAGTATTTTGACTGTACATCCTAAAGACAAAACACCTACACCAAGCAATCCTAAATTGTGTTCAGTGAGCTTATTGTTAGTGGTAACGATATATAAATGTTAAAATAAAGAGAATACAGCAAACTAGGAGTAGAGAAAACTTTCTCATCTTGATGAAAATATCTACAAAAAATCTACAATTAACATCATAGTTAATGGCGAGAAACTAGAAGCTTTCCTGCAAGATCAGGAATGAGACAAGGACATCCTTTCTCACCACTCTTCGTCAACAATATGCTGGAAGTCCTAGTTAATTATTATAGAATGAATGTTTGTGTCCTCTCAAATTCATATTGCTTTCAAGGAATTTCCCTAACCCCACAAACTGATGGCATTTGGAGGTCCCAACACCTCCAAAGGATTTGGGGCATTTGGGAGGTGATTAGGTTATGTGTGTAAAGCTATCATAAATGAAATTAGTGCCCTTCTAAGAGACCCCAGAGAGCTCCCTCACTTGTTTCCTCCATGTAAGGACACAGAGGGAAAATGGCCATCTATGAACCAAGGAGTAAGCCTCACCAGATGAAAAATTTGCCAGAACTTTGATCTTAGACTTCTTGGCCTCCAGACCTGTGAGAAACAAATTTCTGTTGTTTATAAGCCACCCAGTCTGTGGTAAATTTGTTATTGCAGCCCCAAAGGACTAAAACATTAATGCAATATGACAAGAAGAGGAAATAACAAGCATACTGATTGTGAAGAAAGAAATAAACTGTCTTTGTTTACATATGACATGACTGTGAAGAAAACCCTGGAACTAATAAGCAATTATAGCAAGGTTGAAGGATATAAAATTAATATACAAAAATTAATTGCTTTCCTATATACCAATGATGAATAAATGGAATTTGAAATTAAAAACACGATACTACCCTGGCCCATGTGGCTCAGTTGGTTGGGCGTCATCTCGCAGAGTGAAAAGTTGCTAGTTTAATTCCCAGTCAGTGCACATGCCTGGGTTGTGGGTTTGGTCCTTGGTCAAGGTGTCTGAGGAGGGCAACTGATCGATGTTTCTTTCTCACATCAGTGTTTCTCTTCCTCTCTTTCTTCCTCCCTTCCCCTCTCTCTAAAAATAAATAAATAAAATCTTTAAAAAAACACCATACCATTG